GACTGAATGACAACTGGATCCTGAATGACAGGTGGATCTTGAATGTCAAGTGGATGACGATTGGAATGAGAAGTGGATGACGATTGTGGGATGAGAAGTGGATGACGATTGCGGGATGAGAAGTGATGACGATTGCGGGAAGAGAGGTGGATGACGGTTGCGGGAAGAGAAGTGAGTGTTGGTGGTAGAGATTATATGGAACGAGAAGTAGGTAATGCTGGCTGGATATGAAGTGATTCTCAAATGAGAAGTAGATCTTTTCTTTGATTTTTATTTTGATTTTTTATTGATCTTTTCTGTCTCTTCATCTTTTTTTTTTTTTCTTTTTTCTTTTTCTTCTTCTTTTTTTCTTCTATTTTTATGCAGTTGCAAAGCAAGATATTGCTTCAGGATGTGTGAGAGGAGGAGTGAGAATAGCAAAGAACGAGTTCTTTGATCCCAAGAAAGGATGGCGTAAGGATGAGAAAGCAAATGTCGTGTAAGATGTTGCTTGCAAGGGTGATCATGTCGCCACTTTGATTGATGATCAAGTAATGCCCCCTGACCATGAAAGTTGTTTGTGAATTGATCTTTGGAACCGTTGAGTAATGGCAATGGCAAGTGCACCATTCCGGCTGATGTTTCACTTGTTCGGATGATACGTTATAAATTTTGATCTTGCATGCATCAGCAAAGGAAAGAGCGATGTTTTTTGACTGCTCTCCTTGATCTTTCGAAGACTCTCTCGAATTGTCCGGGGAAACATTTGGTTGATTTGGGCCCCATTCAGTCGTTTGTAGGAGAAGTGTGTGATGTTGATTGTACGATAGGTAGATCTCGAATAAGAATAAGAAGAAGAAGAATCCATAAGCGAGAAGTGGATTATACCAGTTGAATGAGAACACAGATGAGATAGCGAGCATCAATGGAAGACCTTGGCTGGCTAGGTTGTATGCTGGCGTTTGCATTTGTGAGGCTTTTTTTGTGAAGTGAATTGATGCCATGTTTGCTTGTATTTGAGTGCCATAGTCATTGTCTTTTGAGGAATTTGTGATGCTGACTGAATGACAAGTGGATCTTGAATGACAGGTGGATCTTGAATG